TTATTAACTGCCAAAAACGGAGGAGCGACAAACTACATTTATCGCTTTTTAATATTGTTATTCGATTTCATTTCAACCAATTATACATGATGCATCAAGGTGATTTGCTAGTTGCCGATTTTCGCTTAGCCAGCATAACAGAAATATTCAGTCCACAATGGAATTAAAATAAGATATGGTATTACCTTCTTTTGGATGCTATGGTTGAAGAGCAAGATTCTTCGTTAGGATGATTTATTCATAGGGACCTAGCATATGCTGATTTTGTTCATAATTTTCTTTCTAACCATTGTTACTAAAGCTAAGGTTGAAATTTTAAAATCTATGCCTTTTAAGAGTCTGAGGCTTGTGGAGTAAAATCATCCGACCGAAGAATACTGAAAGATTTATTACTGGGGGATAATTATTATCTGTACCTAATTGATGATATTATCTCTTTAATGAGGAACAAGTTTTCAGACCGAGACTATTTAGTCAGAGATAGGCAAGCCAAGACCCTTTCTTATCTTTTAATCTTGTCATCAGGATTACTCTCTAATAAGATAGACGACCTAATAACGAAGTGGGAGATAGAGACAGTTTTCAAAGAAACACTCACATTTTCTTCGGTTATGTCTTCTTTTAGAAAGAAATGTAACCCACTCTCAATATCCGGCTGTTATGAGCGTGTGTGCTTCTGTGGTAGACCTTATATTGGTGAGTAATATGAGATGTATTTACCCAATTTCCTTTAAGGCGATGAACGACTTGTGGAAGAATTTTGCCACATTTAATTTTGCACGGCCTTGTTTTGCCAAAAGTTGTCTTCATCCGGGCTGAGCTGGACTGCAGTTTCTACCTCGCCTTGGTCTTGTCAACATTCCCAGCGGGAGTCGAACCGAGACAATGCAGCATGTGAGCTTGACACGTTAACCACTCGGCCACATCGACACGAGTCTCTTTGGTTACAGGACAGATGTCAATGTTATGTTGATGAGGCCCGTCGGCAGGACCGTTGGCCGGAACACAAAATGGTTTTCGTCAAAGCAGCATGTCTGCTACTAAACACAAGTTATGGGAGGCTATTGACAATAATTGCTTAGGGACTACATTTGATGTGTGGAATGGTGGTATAAAGTTGAGTAAGAATTTCTTATGCTCGAGTAAATGATTGAAAAAGCGAGAGGGTGTTGAGTTGCCATCGAAGAGAAAGCAACTCTACTTGTCTCTTGACCAGTTGTCGATTGGCTTTACTGGAAGATTCATGCTGACGCTGTTTCCGAGGCCAGATTTAGAGTATATATACCACTTTTTAGGGATTTGCCGGTGAGTTTTCTTGACTCACAAGCCTG